TTATTATTTTATTTTACAAGAGAACTTGCGAAGTCTTGATTTACTACTAATGCGTAAAATAGAAAAAAAAAAATGCATAAACGCATCTCCGACTGTTTTATCTGTGTGGTCTATAAGAATGGGCCAATGTCGTGCAATAACGGTTTTAATATATTCTATTCAATAACATTGTTAACTGCTTTTATTTATAACATCTGCTGCTTTGCTTTTGTGAACATGAATAGAGACATCAGCCTTCAACTTTGTTTTTGTCATTTACATCAGTTATATTTGTATAAAATACACTATATATTTTTGTGTCAGTACATTAATGGCACATTTGAGCAGCATTAGTAAACTGTGTAAATATAAAGACATGCCAAATCACATGCAGGTTTCTTCAGACCGGAGACCATAATCATGTAATAATTTATTTTATTATGATATGAAACGTTAAATTTTTTTTTCAATAATGTCTTTTAAAATTTTGCAAGAATTTCGTGATACTAAACTTTTTTTAGTTGTCATAGCAAGTGATTTTAAAAGTAGGATGGCTCACTTTTTATAAGATGACTGAAAATTTTACTTGAATTCGTAGTTTATTCTCACTTTTGGAAACCAAATTTTTTATAATTACTACTACTACTATTATTATTATTATGATTATTATTATTATTATTTATGTTGTTTCTAGAATAGTACTTTTGATAATAGTCAACAGAAAAAAATATAACCACACACACATTGCTTTGTCCACAGAATAATTACACATTATTAAATAATTTGGGTCCACGCGTGTTAATAATTTCTTTGCATCTATGGCCTATAAAATGGCCTATGATGAAGTAGTTTGCAAGAGGCAGAATGGCAGCATTAGCGCTTCTTGAAGATATTGCAAACCGTGCAATGAGAAGACAACGCGTTTTTAGAGATCGGGCAGATTTCTTTGCGTATGGCGACGAATGGTTGATAAGCAGGTACCGTTTGCCAAGAGCTGCACTGTTACATCTTTGTGCCCAGATAGGCCCTAATATACAGAGACACACAAACTCCAACCAGGCCATACCTGTCGAGGTACAGGTGCTCTCCGTGCTTGGGTTCCTGGCCACGGGAACATTTCAAAGAGAGATTGGTGACCGATCAGGAATATCCCAGCCATCTGTGAGTAGAATTATGTCAGCTGTGCTTCAAGGCATCATCCGATTGTCCACTCGGTACATAAAGTTCCCATACACTGCCGAGGAGCAGCAGCATGTTATGGATGATTTTGTGTGCCAAACAGGATTCCCCAATGTCCTAGGTGCAGTAGATTGCACTCACGTTGCCATACGAGCACCTCATGCACATGAATATGTGTATGTTAATAGGAAAAATTTCCATTCAATTAATGTACAGCTCATTTGCAATGCTCGAATGGCAATTCTTAATGCAGTTGCAAGATGGCCAGGGTCGACGCACGACTCCTTCATTGTGCGCAACTGCAGCGTGGGCAATCGTCTAGAGGCAGGAGCAGGTAGACATGGATGGCTTCTAGGTAAATAAATTTGTGTTTAGCTGTTATTCCATTTTCGTGTTCAAAAATAATTCTCTATACAATTATAGGTGACCGAGGTTATCCTCTGAAGCCATGGCTTCTCATCCCCATAGCGCACCCACAGACAGCTGAAGAAGCCCACTATAACATGTCCCATGCCTGCGCCCGGTCAGTTGTGGAGCGCACAACTGGGCTACTAAAGGGAAGGTGGCGATGTCTGGATGCATCGGGAGGGAGACTCCTATATGATCCAGTCAAAGTGTGCCAAATTGTTTTGGCTTGTTGTGTTCTGCACAATATCTGCTTGAGTTATGGGGTTGGGCTACCAGAAGAGGAAATGCGCATGGATGTTCCAGAGGATCCCCTTCCACTACCCGCTGACTGGAACGCACATGCTGTTGCGATCATGAGAAGACGGCAGTTAATCCACAGGTTATTTCAACAGGTAAGACCACCCGTTCTATGGAAAAATATTTTTGTTTTTTTAGAATACCACACCATGCAAGTAATTGTATGTAACCTTGCATTACATAATCTAATAGGCTACATTATATTATTTATGCTTTATATTTTATACCAGTGTGTGTAGTTCTATACAGCTGCCTTGCAACAAATCAAAATTATGAGAAGCAGTAGAGAAACAAACTTTACAGTATTTCAAACTCGAAACTTTTATTCACACACACCGTTTTTTCAAACAGTCAACAAGAGCGCACAGAGTCTGGTTCATCTGAACTAGGGACTGTCGCACCTGGCACAGTTCAGTCACAACATCACAAACTGACTGATTCAGCTCTTTCTGTGATTGCAGGACGGCCACAGATAGCACTCTCCCCTGGCTAGGACAGCTCGAGGTGGATGTTGATGGCCTGGGAGATTCCTCCTGAACGGGAGTGTTACTTGATGCTGTCGCAGTTTGGGAGACAGATCTACTAGGGGCTGTTTTCCTTTGTAAATGTTCATCATCTACAGTAATAAAATTGCACAATCAAAACAACACTCGGTTTCGATAATCTATAACTTATCACATGCCAGCATACCTTCTGAAGCTGGTGCAGACAAAATATCTGTATCACCTTCTGCACAAATCAATTCTCAGCATCTCCACAAACTGAAAAAATTTAATTTCAGCAAAACGGTTTCGATTTTTTTTCCTGTAGAGTTACCACATCTGGAATTAATAGCATTTCTAAACCTACAGTAGCAGAAAAAACTTCTTGTACATCAGTGGTAGAATATGTGTTTTCCAACTGGGGATGTAGCTCAGTGGTAGAGCGCATGCTTCGCATGTATGAGGTCCTGGTTTTAATCCCCAGCATCTCCACACACTGTTAAAATTTAATTTCAGTAAAACGGTTTCAATTTCGTGCTGTAGAGTTACCACATCTGGAATTAATAGCATTTGTAAACCTACAGTAGCAGAAAAAACTTGTTGTACTTCAGTGGTAGAAAATGTCCTCACAACTGGGGATGTAGCTAGTGGTAGAGTGCATGCTTTGCATGTATGAGGTCCTGGGTTAAATCCTCAGCATCCTCAGTTTAGTAAATTTCATGCAAAGAATTTCAATGCAATTCTTTATAGTTCCCGCTACTGGACTTTTGCAATCCCCAGCATCTCCACACATGGTTAAAATTGTATTTCAGCAAAACGGTTTCAATTTGGTCCTGTAGCGTTACCACATCTGGAATTTATAGCATTTGTAAACCTACAGTAGCAGAAAAAACCTTCTTGTACCTCAGTGGCAGAAAATATGCCTTCCAACTGGCGATGTAGCTCAGAAGTAGAGCACATGCTTCGCATGTATGAGGTCCTGGTTTTAATCCCCAGCATCTCCACAAACTGTTA